ATATAAGCTCTGGCGGACTTGGTTCTATGGTAGGTCTTAAAGGGTTAAATAAATATCGTCAAATAATCGAGATCTCAATTTCAGTGAAATTAATCGTGATTATCATTTTTGCCATAATCGAGCAGCCCTACATGACACAACATCCAAATATAAATTGCAGCTAAAAAGGATTACAGAGTATCAAGTTTATGTGGTTCCTGAAACCAAGACTGTTACGTAGTCTATCCAGATAACAGAGGGTGGTGACCTCTAATTACAGGTTCCAAACAGACAACAGCAGTTGAAACCTTACCAGACTTATGACCCCATTTATGATTCAAGTACCACTATGTGACAACTTAACTGAAGCTAAGAAAAAGTCGAGTCAAATTTTTTTTCCTATCTGCCAGGTTAGGAATGGTTACAAAGTAAATAAATAAGGTGTATGGAAATATTGCAACATTATAAGAAAATTGGGTATGGTTAAAAGTTTGATAAAATGCCGTAACAATAGAACATTTTGCATCATAACAGAGAGAAAAAAAATATAGTATTCGTTGTTCCTTTTACTTAATTCATGAAGTAAAACAGCAGCTGGCCATATTTGCTGTGCAATTGACCCCTTGGGGATTAATCAGAATCAGAATACTTTATTGATCCCTAGGGGAAATTATTAACACTTTGCTTGTCTGGTAATTAAAATGAAGATTTTTTTCAGATATGTGGATAAATTAGATATTGAAAACCACAAACAGTTGAACATAACTAAATTACTGCTTAACGTGAATGTTCAACTGACTCATATTAAAGCATGCCTCGGCAGATTTCAGCAACATAACTGAGTGAGTATGTCACAAGTCTTTTAACAAAATTATGTTTTTTGAAGGTTTCTGTGCACCTACCTTGAGAGCCAGGGACAAAATGCCCCAGGCGGTCCTCTTCCCCACAGTTAGCTTGCTCTCTAACCACACTAACCTGGAACCCTGGATGGAAAAATCCAAGAGAAAAAAACATTAAAAATTACATCACACAATCTACATTACAATTGATTTCCAAATATTCTGAGTCTTAGGTAGGTTGAAGGTTAACTGAGGATACACATTTACAAACCAATATTACCAAATAGCCAAAACTGTTCAGAGTTTCTCCTTAATTGTCACTTCATCAAGATACAGAAAGATTGCTTCAGAATTTGATTGTAGTTGATCATTTGATTTGGTCCTTTTGCCACCTTTTCCAACAACACTTCAATTCTTCTTCTTTTTTTTAAAGTTAGGTATCTAAAGAATTAAATAAATAAATAAATAAATAAAAATGGGTTAAATGTGAGTTTAGTCCAAAACCTAAACTGGCACCACTGTGGAATAAGAAGTCTGTTCATATAAGATGGATCTGTTGGGTTTCAAAACTTAAGTTATTCATTACGATGTTGTACCTGTCTTAATAAAAGCTTTTGACCTATTTTATACCTGAAATTATTAAAAGATTTACTGTGTGACAAACTGTTCATTTGGTTTTGTTATTTATTCATTACTGAGAATATACAAGCATGTTGTGGCCTCCAAACTAAATGTTGAGGATGAAACAGGTTCCAGTTTTACATCTTCCCAGGGACTTCAGAATCTCAGTACTTCAGGTGCCAAGATGATAAGAAATTGTTTCCACTTCACTCCAAAGTTTAGAATTACACCAGCCAGTTGCTCAGCAGATAAGGTATGCCTCCTGCTTTGAATACAAGAGTGACAGGAGGAACTAGTATTCACACTGGAACATCCTTCCTATTCTGGTATTTTAAAGAGTACTTAGCAGAAATATTAAGCAACCTAACTAATAGGGTTGCAAACTACCAGCAAAAAAAAATAAAAAATAGGGAACCACCCTCCACCCTCCAC